TGTATCTCTGATTTTTGCCCAACAGTGACTAGTGTGAACCAACTGCAGCCAGATATCTGTCCCTCACTGCAACACCATCCTGATCACTGCCATACCAGTGGGTCCTGATCAGTGTCAAAAATATGGCCAAAAGATCGTATACAAGCGAGGAGGCATTTCAAATTCTGAGTATGACAGATGAGAGTGACGGAGAACTCTCACTGTCAAACTCTGATTCTGTATATGAACCAGAACACAGCAGCGGTTCACTCTCTGAATCAGAAGAAGGTGTTCCAACAAAAAGAATGAGGAACTCCAAGGAGCAGCAAGCAACCACCAGCAGCTCAATACGTTCTTCTGATATGGCTACTACCAGCACTGTAAGTGCAAGTTCTAGTATTCAGGTGTCACATCCGCCACCAAGGATTAGGGCCCATACTGCTGTCCCAGATGCTCTTTTAAACCCTGTGTGGCTACCTTCAGGATCAGGAGCACCTATAATTCCCCCATTCATAGCCCAGTCAGGCATTCAGGCAGAAACCCAAAATTTTACAGCCATTGATTATTTCCATTTATTTTTCACTGAAGAGTTTTTGAATTCAGTTGTGCACCAATGCAATATTTTCGCCCAGCAATTAATCACTCAAAATCCCAACTCCTGTTATGCTCGAACATTTGAGTGGAAATGCCTCACAGTTGAAGAATTTAAAGTTTTTCTTGGCCTTACATTTAATATGGGACTAACAAAAAAAAATGAACTGCATGCTTATTGGTCGACAAATCCCATTCAACACATGCCGCTCTTTTCTGCCACTATGTCCAGGACCCGCTATAAAACAATTCTGCACTTTCTTCTTTATACATTTCAACGATAATTCCCTGTTCCCCCCCAGAGATCACCCCGAGTACGACAAACTTTATAAAATTCGTCCACTAATCAATTATTTCAACCAAAAATTTTCAGAAATATATTGTCCTGAAAAAAACATCTGTGTCGATGAATCCCTAATCCATTTCACTGGGAGGCTGATCATAAAACAGTACATTCCAAGTAAACGGGCCAGATACGGGGTGAAGATGAACAAACTCTGCGAAAGGTCCACAGGATACGTGCACAAGTTCCGTATCTACGAGGGAAAGGACAGTCAGCTAGAGCCCCCTGAATGCCCAGCCTATATGGGGATTAGTGGAAAAATTGTCTGGGACCTGGTATACCCCCTCTTCAATCAGGGGTACCACCTTTACGTGGACAATTTCTACACAAGCCTGCCCCTTTTCCGCCACCTTTATCTCAAGGACACTGTAGCCTGTGGCACAGCTCGACCCAATCGGAAGGGATTTCCACAACAATTGGTTGCCACCAAGCTAAACAGGGGGGAGTCAGCTAGCTTGAGAAATGAAGAGATCCTGGCCCTTAAGTGGCGAGACAAACGGGATGTGTATGTCCTTTCATCTATCCATAACAGCAGCTCATTGGAAATTCAAGGAAGTCGCGGTCCCATCCGAAAACCCCAATGCATACACGAATACAACCTGTTCATGGGGGGAGTGGATTTAAATGATCAAATGTTACAGCCCTACATACCCAACAGAAGATCAATCTACTGGTATAAAAAAGTATCCTACCTTTTCCATATGGCCCTGTACAATTCCTACATCGTTTTCAGAAGTCCACACAAAGACCTGTCACCTTCTTACAATATCAGGAAGAGATTATCACATCCCTCATCTATCAAGGAAGACCCATACCTGAACAAATTCGGTCTGATGCAGTGAGCCGATTGCATGAAAGACATTTCCCCAATATCGTCCCCCCTACCGAAACAGACCGCAATCCTCAAAAGAGATGTCGGGTATGCTCCAAACATAGAATTCGATCTGACACCCGATACTACTGTCCCCAGTGTCCCTCAAAGCCTGGTCTCTGTATAGAAGAGTGCTTCCGTATCTACCATACCGCACTGCATTATTAGTGAAGTACGGTGAAGATATATCTCTTTGTCCTCTGTTTGCTATTTCCCCTGCCACGTTTCTGCCTGTTGCCTGAATTCATTTTCCTGCCTTCCATCTGAACTGACCTCGGCCTGTTTATTGACCATGCCTCTGCTTGCTGCCTGAACTGACCTCGGTGTGTTAATGGACCATGCCTCTGCCTGCTGCCTGAACTGACCTCAGCCTGTTAATCGACCATGCCCTCTGCTTGCTGCCTGAACTGACCTCGGCCTGTTAATCGACCATGCCTCTGCCTGCCTCCTGGACTGATCTTTTGCCCTCCCCACTTTAGTAGTGGGATTCAAGACAACACAGGGGTCTCACGTATGTGAGGGGATCCAGAGTAGTGTTTCCGAGCAGAGAAAACTTTTTTGTTTTCTTTGGGTTTTTAATTCCCGGATCAGGGTCTGGAGACCAGAGGCTTCGAAGAGATTTGGGTGGGATGAAGCCTCTACCCCTTTGTCCAGTCTTACCTAACCAAGGCCCTAAGCTTAATGTTTCTGCCTGGACCAATCCTTTTACCACTTCTTTGCTTGCTGTCTGTATTGACTGTGGCCTTTTTATGGACCATGTTCCTGTCTTCTTCCTGGACCACTACTTTGCCTGTTTGCTCACCACATCTATGCATGACACCGGTACTGACCCATCTGCACATCCCACTGGCTACCTTCCTGCAAGACACTGGTGCCACCCACCCTCTGCACTGAAACAACAGGTACTCTTTGGTTTATCTTTTGTTCAACTTCTTGGTGAATGAACATAGTGCTATGTGGACAGCCACGTACTAATAGGTTAAGCTTTTAGGAACAGCTGTAGGTGAAGCTACACTATGCTTTATTGATATATAATGTTTGCTAATTTTTGTGATAAACAGGTTGCAATGACCAGTAATCAGTCCAAACACTGAAAATGTCTTACACATGTGGTATCCCCATACTCATGAAAAGTAGCAGAATGTGTTTTAAAGTGTTATTCTAAGAATACCTATGCAGTGTGTTAGAAATATGTTATTATTGGTAACATTGCATTAAAGAAAAAATAACTACTTTTTTTCACATTTTCTAAAAATCTGTGTAAAAAATTAAGTCTTCAGAAGACTTTGCTGCTCCAGGACCTCCAAAATTGTGATACGTAGTCAATAAATTAGATGTGTAATTTTTGCCCTTAGTATGCCTAACGTGCTTATATTGCATGTGGGGCCCCTCCATTTGGTTAGGGGCTGTGAAAAAGTCTTGCACGTGTGGTATCGTTATACTCAGGAAGAGTTAGAGAATGTGTTTTGGGGTGTAATTTTAAGTATACCTATGCAGTGTATTAGAAATATCTTCTATATTGACAACTTTGCATAGAAAAAAATACATTTTCATTTTCTTTTAACATATTCCAAAAACTTTTGGCAAAAAATGAAGTCTTCAGAAGACTCCCCATGCCTCTTAAAACATACCTTGGGGTGTTTGCTTTCCAAAATGGGTCATTTTGTGGATAATTCCATTGCCCTGATGCTCCAGGACCTCCAAAACGGCAATAGGTAGGTAAGAAATTAGATGTGTGATTTTTGCCCTTAGAACGCTAACAGGTGCTTATTGGATGTGGAACCCTCTATGTGGCCAGACTGTGAAAAAGTCTCACACATTTGGTATCACCATATTCAGGAAGAGTTAGAGAATGTGTTTTGGGGTGTAAATTTTAAGTATGCCTATGCAGTGTATTAGAAATATCTCATAGATTGACAACTTTGTGTAGAAAAAAAAATACATTTTCATTTTCTTTTTGCATTTTCCAAAAACTTGTGGCAAAAAATGAAGTCTTCAGAGGACTCCCCATGCCTCTTAAAACATACCTTGTGGTTTTTTTTGAAAATGGGGTCATTTTGTGGGTAATTCAATTGTCCTGGTGCTCCAGGACCTCCAAAACTGTGATAGACAGTCAAGAAATTAGATGTGTAATTTTTGCCCCTAGAACGCCTAAGGGTGCTTATTGGATGTGGGGCCCTTCTATGTGGTTAGGCTGTGAAAAAGTTTTACACATGTGGTATCGCCATACTCAGGATGAGTAGCAGAATGTGTTTTGGGGGTGTAATTGCAAGTATGCCTATGCCGTGTGAGAGAAAGAACTTGTTAAATGACAACTTTGTGGGAAAAAAAAAAAAAGAATTTTTTTTACTTTCATCATTTCCTTAAAAAAATTGGCAAAAAATGACAACTTCAAAAAACTCCCCATGCCTCTCATTAAATACCTCAGACTGTCTACTTTCCAAAAAGGGGTCATTGGGGGGTATTTGGGGGGTCCTGGCATTTTAGGGCCCCAAGAAATTATATAGGTAGTCCGTGCATCAGGATTGATAACATTTTAAAATATATCAAATATATATACCGTGGTCTGTGGACTCTATAACTTTCACAAAGACTAAATAATACACACTGATTTGGGTTATGTCTACCAACAAAATGTAGCACAATGGATTTTGGCCTAAATTTATGAAGAAAGTATATTTATTTGCAAAATTTAGTATCAAATACTAAGAAAAACATGTTTTTTTTTCAAAATTTTCAGCCTTTTTTCGTTTTTCTAGCAAAAAATAAAAACCCCAGTGATGATTAAATACCACCAAATTAAAGCTCTATTTGTTTGAAAAAAATAGATAATAATTTCATTTAGATACAGTGTTGTATGCCTGAGTAATTGTCATTCACAATGTGAGAGCGCCGAAAGCTGAAAATTGGCCTGGACAGGAAGGGGGTAAAAGTGTCCGGACAGGAAGTGGTTAATGGTGGCCAACTTGTTCTTGAGACATCAGTTGTCCAGGGGGTGTCAGTTTCATCTTCCTACACATTGTACAATTGACTGGATATGCATTGTTTTACTCTCTGCTGTTCTCGTCATTATGAATTCTCCTCAAAATATTTTAAAAAAATATTTTAAAGAAAAAAAGCAAAGCCTGGCAGAGCACAAAAATGGACAGCCCATTAGATGATCCTTCCACGTGGACATTGGAAAGGGATACAATAAGACATGTCTACTGTGCTTACCATGCAAGGTGGCAGAAGTGGGAGTCTACAGAAGCCCCGATGACCTCACAGCCAATCTTGCGGAAGTCCTCGGCGTGTTCGCTGAAGGCGATGATCTCCGTGGGACAGACGAAGGTGAAGTCCAGGGGGTAGAAGAATAGCACAACATATTTGCCTGCCAAACAGAATTTGCATTAGTTTGTCACAATCTGCAGAGGAGCCTCATTCCATGCAAACTCTGTACGCTGAACAGTAATGATTGGGAAGTATAGTCATTACTCCTAATGATTAAAGGCTCAGATGAAAAGCAGGAAGTCTAGCCCAGAGGTAAGGTCTCAGTAAAATCAACCCCTTCCTTCCCACTAGCCCAGGGGTGGGCAAACTTTTTGACTTGAGGGCCGCAATGGGTTCATATATTGGACCCGGGGGCCGGACCAAGAGTAGATGAATGATGTGTATGTGTGAATATAAATTAAAATTTGTAACATTAAATGTTTAGATTAATTTAAGGTAGAAAAGCATAAAAAGTTATTTTACAAAACTTTTATGCAATGTATCCCCCATATAGCAATTCATCCCCCCCCATAGTACTATTTCCCCCCCCCCCCCCCCCCCCCCCAAGTAGTAAGCCAAGTCCCCCCTGTGTCAATTTACTTACCTTTTCTCCGCGAGTTCCTGTTTTCAGGGCGGACTGAGAGGAGCCTAGCTCCCCTCACGTTCGTCACGCCGCCCCGTCTACACACATCCTGACAGCCAATGTTTGCCTGCCCTGGCTGTTTTTTTTTTTATCACGCTCCGCGGGCCGGATTAAAAGGTTCGCCGGGCCGTATACGGCCCGCGGGCCGTAGTTTGCCCATTCCTGCACTAGCCCCAACACAAAAAAAAAAAAAAAAAACCCCACACAAAAACTAAATCTTGCACCAGTTTCATGGTCTTCCTCAGCAGGTGATTGGTGTCAGATCAGATGAGATTCCCCCCCCCCCATCTTGCTGAGCTTTCAATAGCAATCAGGGACAGCAGTCATGGTGCTGGGGGTATGCAATGAACATACCGATAATAAAAGCAGCAGTGCATTTGTGGCAACACCAAATACTACATGCAGCTACCAAAAAGGTGCTAAAGATACAAATGTTCTGCGCAGGTGTATGGCATCAAATGGAAAGATACAGATTTAATATACAAAAGTAGAAACTGTATTCAAAAATATCAACCATTACCAGGACGGGCAGAAAGTATTGTTGGTCTAAAACAATACATACATCAAGACCGGGTCCATAGAGAATGGAGTACAAGTTAGAGCTTTGTTTAATCACATGCTTTGAGGTTGCTCCCAGAGGGAACGTTGTTTTTCAGCCCATGCCATTTTCACACAAGCAGGTAACTTCCATTGTAATAGCAGGAGAACAAAAACAGGCAGCTGGTATGGGAGGGGATTGCATGCAGAGAAAGTAAACTATTATGATGTTAGGGGGAGGTTTTCTGCAGTCCCACAGGAGGAGAACTTCAAGAGGCCGATATGGAATTTCAATGCAGCGCAGGCAATGTTGTCAGCTCACTATATCAAAAGTTGGAAGTCCATTGGATTTCTGAAAGATCAATAGGCATTCCTGCTCTGGCAGCGTTTCTAATGTACAAAGGTGTTTTTCTTTAGTTTTGGATAAAGTGGAGAGGGATTAAAATACTAGTCAGGTTTTTATTGCTGTCTGTCCCAATTCAGGAGATTCACCCTCTATTTGTCCTATTTACGGTTATCAAAAGAGAAAGTCCCAAATTTTGGGTTGTCCACAGAAGAATAGAGGGGAAATTGGCCCAATAGGGACATTAGTTCTGGTGACAACTAGGCATTCCCTCACTTTGGAGGGATTTCCTCTCACTTCCTGTTTTGACTATGAAAAAAGTGAAGGCAAATCTCCGACAGATGTTCTAATTTTCCCCTTACGCTTTCCAAAATGAAAGGTTTTGCATTTAGTTCTTTAACCTCCCTAGCAGTCTGATTATGTCCATATTTCTGTGCTCAAAGCGGTACATTGTTTTGCATGGAAATATGTATTTTATCGTAGGCCTGTAATTTTAGGAACTCACTGAAATCTGTCCGAACAAGAGTCTAGTAAACGTCCCGGGTATGTTAAAATTTGAAACCCGAAATCATAAATTATAATTTAATAAATAATCATAATATAATAAATGTAATTCAATAATATAATCAAACCATAAACACTGAAATTTGAAATATAGCGCCAAGTTCGCACATCACTGAGCTCCGTTGCAAAATTGTTTTCAGTGTCTGATGAGGAATTTCCCCACGAATCATTATCACTCAATTCTGCAAGTGGTTCTGATTTACTATCGCTGTTTTCTAGCCGGTCTAAAACCGCTTTTGACCTAAAGGGACGCTTTTTGGACGCCATGGACGTTTCTCAGTTTCCAGGCAGAAAGAACAGTAAAAATGCAGGCAGGGCGCAGGACAAAGCACTCGGGACAAAATGTATATGAAATGGTTTGATACAGGAATGTTTTACTATGTGATTTTAGTGTATTTAGTGAATGTCATTTTCAAATTTCCTGCCGTTCCGTCCCCCGTTCGTCCTGACATTGCAGGGGACAGAACCCAGAAGACAGATGCCGGCATCCGCTGGAGGACATTACAGGGGACACTGCGGGAGGGACATCGCGGGAGCGCAGGACAAGGCAAGAGAAGAACAGATCCCGGAGCAACGCTGCAGTGTATTCCCGAGTGTAGCTCGGGGTCACCGCTTGTGGTACTGAAACTTTACTCCGAGCTACACTGGGGAATACCGCCAGGGGGGTTAAACATACAAAGATGAGGGATGTGAATGTATTGCAGAACTAGGCTATAAGGGTTTAGCTGTTTCTTCACAACCGTTCCCTTTACTTTTAGCCTTGTTAGCACAAGTCCAGAGTGGGCAGTCACCTGAATCCTGCCATTTTGTGCCTTGTCAACTGGCTGACATTACCAACCTGCAGGTCATGTTTGACTCTGTACACCTGTCAGTTCACACTTTCCTGCATACATTGCTCTTGTGTTGTCTGGACTTGACGTTCTAAGCTAAAGTCCAGGTGAAACAGTGAATGCAAAAAAGTTCCCAATGGGGGGGGGTTCTGATTCAGTATAAAATTAACAATATTTTGAAAAGAGCAAAACAAATTTTACAACTTAAAAGCAAAACTAAACTTATTTTCAGCCAAGGAGGCTACAACCATGATCCTGTTCTGTTTTAGAGCCAATCCAGCCAAGCAGCCGCTGGATTACCTTTACAGGTGGCAGGAGGTCTCGCCCCCTTCTACCGTCACCTTTAATGGGCTCTCAAGCCTGGTAAAGATGGGACCAGCGGCATTTGCTCCCCCAGACAGTGGGAGGAACAGATTTTGTTCCTCCCACTGTGTGGGATCAGAAAAAGAAAGCAACAAGGATTTCGTCACATCCTGTTTCGGTTCTGTGTTTACTGGCCAGTAAAGCAGCCGATCACACTGATCTGTGTCTGATCGGCTGCATTGGAGCGGTCTGGGGTCTAAGATGATAAATCTCTCCCTAGAGGGTACTTGGCACAGCCTATTGCTGTCACAAAAATGTTTACATTCCTTTTGACAAATAAAAGCGATTAAAAAAAAAGATGAATCAGGGAAAAAAAAAAAAAAAAAAAGATTTATACTTTTTTTTTTTTAAATCCCCCCATGCAAAGGGAGGAGATGAGCAGTATATACAGCGACTGCCTGTCACTATAGGTCAGTGCAGGTTTTTAAATGTAATTTCCAGCTTTTTCTTCACTACAGCTCACAGAATTAGCTGTCACTTTCCCTCAAGCTAAAAAGTTTCCTTTTAGTTTCTTTCCCGAGATAAAAAACAGTTTCCTTTAGCTCTGGGGAAAGGGACAGCCAACTCTGAGCTATAGTGAAGAAAATAGCCATTAATAACAATTAAAAACCAGCACCAACAGTGGCACAACCAGTGAGGGAGCCTCTGTATACACTGCTCCTCTCCTGCTCCCTCCTTGCACACACTGCTCCCCCCTACAAAGAGGATCTGTCACTCATATGCTATCACATAGGGGACTATTGGTCCCCTATGTGATAGCAATAAAATCATAAGTTAAAAAAATATATAAAAGTAAAAGAAAATAAAAATTGGAGCCTCCCCACCCCCACATACGCAGACTTTGTTTTCGGCCACGTGCATTCTGAATTTTCGGCATCGGCACCAAAATTTTAATTTCAGTCCACCACTAGTTAATATAGGACACTCATCCGTACAATGGTAACACTCACCTCTGTAGTCTGATAGTTTGACTTGTTTAAATTCTCCTTTCACTACCGCTGTAGCCTCGAAATCTGGGGCCGGCTTCCCGATGTGAGCGTTCCCTGCAGACATGATTGCACCTAGGAGACACCATAACTAAATATTAGACAACTTTAATCAACATTTAGTGACAGTTCACATTCATCAGGATAGGCGCTTGGAAGAGTCCTACCCATTCAGACGGCCGATAGAGGCCATACATCGTCAGGAATTCATATTTCAATCCAACGATCAACTTCTGGTGAATGGGACTACTAGAAAACTCATTTGATCAGCATCTGCAATCAGTGTATTCAGACAGCGGACAGTCCCCAATGTCAAAGTGGGGAGGATTCCCCCATCCTTGCTTGTGCGGAAGGCTTGTCATTTCCTTCAGCCCTCTGGCAGATTTACAAAAAGATCTATGGACAGCATTGCAATGGACAAACATCTAGCCATGCACCCAGTCTTGGAAAATTTGTACCAATTTTTGAAATATTGCAATTTTGAAAAAAATGTCTGACTACAGCCAAGCTAGGATGACATGATGAACCTCACGTACTCCCCATACACAGCACACTGAAGACAAGAAAAAGGAGGTGCAGATACAGCAACAAACACATACAGCTGTCCCAGCAGAGCTCTTCCTCTGGGCTCATGGAAACAAAGACAGTCCAGGAAAAGTCCTTCCTGATGACCAGCCGGATAGGAAGCCACACTTGGAACTTAAACACATTCATAGATCACATGTATTAAGAGACAAACATCGACAGATCACATATATACAGACATGATATATACAGACTCATTCACCTTTCCAACCGCTCCATCTCTGCCACCCCCCTCTGCCAATCCCTCCACTGGCTTCCGATTGCCCAACGGATCAAATTCAAAATCCTAACACTGACGTCCAAAGCCGTCCACCATACTGCCCCGAACTACATCACTGACCTAATATCCAAGTACCACCCAGGTTCGATATAGTGAGAGGGTTCAATGGATAGATTAGATCAGATAGAGAGGGGGGAGGGTTCTATATATTGAAGGTCCATATATTGGGGGGGAGCAGCTATAAATCAAGACTTCCATATACTGGGGGTTCTACACTGTGAGAGGGCCACATACTGGGGGAGGGGGGGGTTCTACACTCTGAGAGGGCCACATACTGGGGGAGGGGGGGGGTTCTACACTCTGAGAGGGCCACATACTGGGGGAGGGGGGTTCTACACTCTGAGAGGGCCACATACTGGGGGAGGGGGGTTCTACACTCTGAGAGGGCCACATACTGGGGGAGGGGGGGGTTCTACACTCTGAGAGGGCCACATACTGGGGGAGGGGGGTTCTACACTCTGAGAGGGCCACATACTGGGGGAGGGGGGTTCTACACTCTGAGAGGGCCACATACTGGGGGAGGGGGGTTCTACACTCTGAGAGGGCCACATACTGGGGGAGGGGGGTTCTACACTCTGAGAGGGCCACATACTGGGGGAGGGGGGTTCTACACTGTGAGAGGGCCACATACTGGGGGAGGGGGGTTCTACACTGTGAGAGGGCCACATACTGGGGGAGGGGGGTTCTACACTGTGAGGGGGCCACATACTGGGGGGAGGGGGGTTCTACACTGTGAGGGGGCCACATACTGGGGGAGGGGGGTTCTACACTGTGAGGGGGCCACATACTGGGGGAGGGGGGTTCTACACTGTGAGGGGGGCCACATACTGGGGGAGGGGGGTTCTACACTGTGAGGGGGCCACATACTGGGGGAGGGGGTTCTACACTGTGACACTGTGAGGGGGGGGCCCACATACTGGGGGAGGGGGGTTCTACACTGTGAGGGGGCCACATACTGGGGGAGGGGGGTTCTACACTGTGAGGGGGCCACATACTGGGGGAGGGGGGTTCTACACTGTGAGGGGGCCACATACTGGGGGAGGGGGGTTCTACACTGTGAGGGGGCCACATACTGGGGGGGGGGGGTTCTACACTGTGAGGGGGCCACATACTGGGGGAGGGGGGGTTCTACACTGTGAGGGGGCCACATACTGGGGGAGGGGGGTTCTACACTGTGAGGGGGCCACATACTGGGGGAGGGGGGTTCTACACTGTGAGGGGGGGGGGGGTTCTTTCACTGTTTTTCACATACTGGGGGAGGGGGGTTCTACACTGTGAGGGGGGAGGGCCACATACTGGGGGAGGGGGGTTCTACACTGTGAGGGGGGGCCACATACTGGGGGAGGGGGGGTTCTACACTGTGAGGGGGCCACATACTGGGGGAGGGGGGTTCTACACTGTGAGGGGGCCACATACTGGGGGAGGGGGGTTCTACACTGTGAGGGGGGCCACATACTGGGGGAGGGGGGGTTCTACACTGTGAGGGGGCCACATACTGGGGGAGGGGGGTTCTACACTGTGAGGGGGCCACATACTGGGGGGGGGGGGTTCTACACTGTGAGGGGCCACATACTGGGGGAGGGGGGTTCTACACTGTGAGGGGGCCACATACTGGGGGAGGGGGGTTCTACACTGTGAGGGGGGCCACATACTGGGGGAGGGGGGGTTCTACACTGTGAGGGGGCCACATACTGGGGGAGGGGGGTTTCTACACTGTGAGGGGGCCACATACTGGGGGAGGGGGGGGGGGGTTCTACACTGTGAGGGGGCCACATACTGGGGGGAGGGGGGTTCTACACTGTGAGGGGGCCACATACTGGGGGAGGGGGGTTCTACACTGTGAGGGGGCCACACATACTGGGGGAGGGGGGTTCTACACTGTGAGGGGGGCCACATACTGGGGGAGGGGGGTTAACCACTGTGAGGGGGCCACATACTGGGGGAGGGGGGTTAACCACTGTGAGGGGGCCACATACTGGGGGAGGGGGTTAACCACTGTGAGGGGGCCCACATACTGGGGGAGGGGGGGTTAACCACTGTGAGGGGGGCCACATACTGGGGGAGGGGGGTTAACCACTGTGAGGGGGCCACATACTGGGGGAGGGGGGTTCTACACTGTGAGGGGGCCACATACTGGGGGGGAGGGGGGTTCTACACTGTGAGGGGGCCACATACTGGGGGAGGGGGGTTCTACACTGTGAGGGGGCCACATACTGGGGGAGGGGGGTTCTACACTGTGAGGGGGGGGCCACATACTGGGGGAGGGGGGGGGGGTTCTACACTGTGAGGGGGGGCCCCACATACTGGGGGAGGGGGGTTCTACACTGTGAGGGGGCCACATACTGGGGGAGGGGGGTTCTACACTGTGAGGGGGCCACATACTGGGGGAGGGGGGTTCTACACTGTGAGGGGGCCACATACTGGGGGAGGGGGGTTCTACACTGTGAGGGGGCCACATACTGGGGGAGGGGGGTTCTACACTGTGAGGGGGCCACATACTGGGGGAGGGGGGTTCTACACTGTGAGGGGGCCACATACTGGGGGAGGGGGGTTCTACACTGTGAGGGGGCCACATACTGGGGGGGGGGGTTCTACACTGTGAGGGGGGGCCACATACTGGGGGAGGGGGGTTCTACACTGTGAGGGGGCCACATACTGGGGGAGGGGGGTTCTACACTGTGAGGGGGCCACATACTGGGGGAGGGGGGTGTTCTACATACTGTGAGGGGGCCACATACTGGGGGAGGGGGGTTCTACACTGTGAGGGGGCCACATACTGGGGGAGGGGGGTTCTACACTGTGAGGGGGCCACATACTGGGGGAGGGGGGTTCTACACTGTGAGGGGGCCACATACTGGGGGAGGGGGGGGTTCTACACTGTGAGGGGGCCACATACTGGGGGGGGGGGGGGTTCTACACTGTGAGGGGGCCACATACTGGGGGAGGGGGGGGGTTCTACACTGTGAGGGGGCCACATACTGGGGGGAGGGGGGTTCTACACTGTGAGGGGGCCACATACTGGGGGAGGGGGGTTCTACACTGTGAGGGGGCCACATACTGGGGGAGGGGGGTTCTACACTGTGAGGGGGCCACATACTGGGGGAGGGGGGTTCTACACTGTGAGGGGGCCACATACTGGGGGAGGGGGGTTCTACACTGTGAGGGGGCCACATACTGGGGGAGGGGGGTTCTACACTGTGAGGGGGGCCACATACTGGGGGGGGGGGGGGTTCTACACTGTGAGGGGGCCACATACTGGGGGAGGGGGGTTCTACACTGTGAGGGGGCCACATACTGGGGGAGGGGGGTTCTACACTGTGAGGGGCCACATACTGGGGGAGGGGGGTTCTACACTGTGAGGGGGCCACATACTGGGGGAGGGGGGTTCTACACTGTGAGGGGGCCACATACTGGGGGAGGGGGGTTCTACACTGTGAGGGGGCCACATACTGGGGGAGGGGGGGGGGGGGGGGGTTCTACACTGTGAGGGGGCCACATACTGGGGGAGGGGGGGTTCTACACTGTGAGGGGGGGGCACATACTGGGGGAGGGGGGTTCTACACTGTGAGAGGGCCACATACTGGGGGAGGGGGGTTCTACACTGTGAGAGGGCCACATACTGGGGGGGGGGGGGGGTTCTACACTGTGAGAGGGCCACATACTGGGGGGGGGGGGGGTTCTACACTGTGAGAGGGCCACATACTGGGGGGGGGGGGGTTCTACACTGTGAGAGGGCCACATACTGGGGGGGGGGGGGGTTCTACACTGTGAGAGGGCCACATACTGGGGGGGGGGGTTCTACACTGAGAGGGCCACATACTGGGGGGGGGGGTTCTACACTGTGAGAGGGCCACATACTGGGGGGGGGGGGGGGTTCTACACTGTGAGAGGGCCACATACTGGGGGGGGGGGTTCTACACTGTGAGAGGGCCACATACTGGGGGGGGGGGTTCTACACTGTGAGAGGGCCACATACTGGGGGGGGGGGTTCTACACTGTGAGAGGGCCACATACTGGGGGGGGGGGTTCTACACTGTGAGAGGGCCACATACTGGGGGGGGGGGGTTCTACACTGTGAGAGGGCCACATACTGGGGGGGGGTTCTACACTGGGAGGGCCACATACTGTGAGGGGGTTCCACATACTGGGGGGGGGGGGGGGGGGTTCAACACTGTGAGAGGGCCACATACTGGGGGGGGGGG